AGCCTGCTTTCCTCTCCCATGGCTGGGGGGCAAGCTGCTGGTCGGCTGAGCTAACCCACCCAGCCCGCTAGCAGCCCACCCAGGTACCCCAGGGGGGCACCACCACCACGGAGCAGCCCACCCCCAAAAAAAGGATTGGGTCCCTCACCATAACAGAGATGGAAAAGTAAAACCCCACCATTTCAATTAAAAACCCATCGTTTCAATTTAGGGGGCATAGAACACAACCCTAAAGACTAACCCCCTGTCGCGTGTACAGGCGCCCCTGTGGATGCCCTGCCCACCGGTGCCCACTCCAGATGCACCAGTCCCAGAAGCCAGGTAGGGATACTGCCCTGAGAGCACCCACCGCCGCAGCTCTCACACACATTAGGGCAGGGGTGGGCAAAATACGGCCCGTGGGCCGGATGCGGCCCACCAGGCCATTCTCTCCGGCCCGCGGGGCCCCTAAAAAATTTAGAAAATTCATATTTATCTGGCCCTGGCTGCCTGTCATGCGGCCCTTGACGGCTTGCCAAAACTCAGTAAGCGGCCCTTTGCCCAAAATAATTGCCCGCCCTGCACTAGGGGCACGAGGCTGGAAGCGGTATAGACGCACCCTGGCAGGGCTTGCTGCGTCAGCCCTGATGGCTGATCGGGTCCCCTCTTTGCCTCATTCTGAAGGCGTCCTCTCCAGCCCAACAAAACTTGTAAGGAAAAAGTTTCATAGATTTCATTGACATAGACATTAGGGCTGGAAGGGACCTTGTAAGATCCTCGGGTCCAGCCCCCCGCCCCAGCGGCAGGAAGTCAGCTGGGGGCAAAGGATCCCAGTTTCTAAGAGGTCAGACTTACATACATGTTCTTTTGACTATATATAGCCAATAAGCAAGCACAGAGGAAAATACTGTGTGAATACATACACTGGGGAGCCAGCAAGAGCCTGGCCTCTGCAAACGCATTAGTTCCAAGGCCTCAAACAGTATTTAAGCAGGAACTTTTCCCCTGCATCCTTTTTTCGAGTCCAGCTTGAGCATGAGAGCCCGTGCTAGGAGATGAGCTGAGCAGGAGCCTGTTTGCTTCCTATTATTCCTTTCTGTGGTGTGACTTCCACCCGGGCAGGCCTGTTTCTTAAGCAAGGCGAAGAAGCCAGATCCTCAGCTGATGTAAATCGTCACAGCTCTGCAGAGGCCAGTGGAGCCGTGCCAGCTTACTTGAGTGAAAGTCTGGCTTGCAGTCTCTGGAGTCAGTCAATATCCATAACATTAGGAGACGGAGTAGAGAGAATTGATATACTTCTAAATTAATAAATTATGGCAAAGCATTTTTTAACGGGTAGAGGTGTGATCCTGCATAACTCAGGCCTCCCTGGCGTATGATTAGAGACGACCCTCATAATAATTAGAGGAACGGCTTAGAGATTGCTATTATACTGCAGTTCAATCAGTTATGCCAGCTAACGCTTTCCGTTGCCTCTCACTTCTGAGAGGTGCTGTCCTTCTGCGCGTGTTAAAATGAGATCTACGGCCACCCAACAGCAAACTGTACCTTTGAAAATGTGCAGACAACCTCGGGGCATCACGTGAGACCATCTTTCAAAGAAGCCTGTGGGAGACAGCTTGATTTACAGAGCCAGCTGTAGTTGCTCACAGCCCAGCCCTTGCATGTAATCTTACCTAAGAGGGGAAACTCAGGATGCTACAAGCTCAGGAGTCCACTGAGTCTGACCCAGTTACTTAGCCAGCAGCTTTTAATGCTAATAGCTCTGTTAAGTACCTGTCTAATTCCTCTTAACATGACTGTGCCTGTTGCTTTTATAGCTCCCCTTCCTGGGATCTGCTGCTGAAATCCGAATGCTAAACTAAGACAATCTTCTGTAAACTACTTAGCAGCTGGACAAAACACAGAGCAAATCCTTCCTGGCCATTACACTTCTGCTGTTTTTTCATCTCCAGAGCCAGCTTCTGAACTCACTTGTGTCAGTGACAATCCAGAGTCACTTTGTCCATGTAAATGGAATTGCTCTGGATTTACACCTTTATAACCAAGAGCTCTGAGAAGCAGAAACCTGCGGCTCGGGGCATTGTTTTACCTCCGCCAGCAGGTGGAATTTATTCTCTGCACGGATCAATCTTGTGCTTGTGTTTGTTTTAGGCAGTGGATTATGAGATGAACAGAGCTTTCATGTTGACGGTGATGGTGTCAAACCAAGCTCCGCTGGCAAGTGGAATCCAGATGTCCTTCCAGTCTACCGCGGGAGTCACCATTTCAGTCACAGACGTCAATGAGGCACCGTATTTCCCAACCAACCAAAAGTTAATCCGACTGGAGGAAGGGGTGCCCACGGGGACGGTGCTGACGACGTTTTCAGCTGTGGATCCCGACCGCTTCATGCAGCAAGCAGTAAGGTGGGCAGCCAGCCAGATGAGATCGTGTGTAATCACAGGCGGGATTTAAGAGACAGAAACCTGGGGAGTAAAACAGCCGTAAGCACCTATCAAAATCTAATTCCTAACTGGCCTGTATAACGTAATGACAGTATTCAGCAGTTACAGGCGCCCTCCCTTTGATGATCTCAGGATGCTTTGCCGCTTTTAATATTTGCAACCCTACCAATGGGCGGGATTGAAGGGGGAACAGTTTGTGGAGTAAAACCGAATCAGACCTGGCATCTCTGTCAATGCGTGGAGCTCAGAAAGGGTGCAGCTCTTAGAGGTGCTAAGGCTCACCTGCATCACGTAATATTGAGGACACACTATGTCCCTTTATTCTTAAGGATGTTCTTCATTATTCGTAACGTAGTTGTTGCTGGAGCCCACAGCTGAGATCAGTGTTGTACATACGCATAGTCACATATACAGCTCCCACCCAAATGAACTTGCAGCCTAGCCAGATGAAGGCTCGGGGAAAGGAAGCATTATTATTCACCTTCTCTGGAAGGGGGACTGAGAGACGGAAAGGATAAGGGCCACATTTTCAAAGGTAGCTTTGAGCCCAGAGATGGTGGCCCTACAAAGTGGGACTTTCCGAAGTGCCTGGGATCATTTTTGAACCCCTACATGCTTCCAAACATGTGGCCCATCATAGCAGCCTGTCCTGAGAGAGAGGGTCCCCAGCATGCATGCGTATTCTGCACCCAGGACACACTGCCGTGACTACTGTGGGGTTGTCCCCAGCAGCCACACTCAAGGATGCTGGAGATGAAGCCCTTAAAAGCAGCTTCATGGGGACGTCCCAGAGCATCTTTCTGGGTTTGGAGCATACGAGCTAAAGCGGGTTGTGCTCGGGACTTTCCCAGACAGGATATGCTGCTCCTGCAGTGATGCCTCCCCTAAGTCAGCGGGACCAACCCTTCTGGCACAAATTATTCCTGCACCCTCCTCGAGTGCCACTCTGATCCCTTTCCCTTGCCCGATCTGGTGCTCTGCTTTCTGCTCCCTACTGCTGTGCATGCATGCAGAGGCTGCCCATGCAACAGGTTGGCTGGGCCTGCCACAAAATGACCCAGGAAGTGTATGGCAAGCTGGGAACTGAATCTGAACTTCCCAAGACCCTCTCCTGTGAATGAGTGGCAATACCACCCTCCCTTCTTTTCACAGGAGCACCTTGGGCACCCTCCAGCTGCATATTTCAATCCCATTAAATTTTATGGGCCTTATTTTTTAAATGATTAGACTTGCAATCATGTACATAGTAGGCGCATGTCGGTGCTGCTCTGCACATACAAAATAGGCTATTGCACACTCAGAAAGCTAATTATGATCATTTGCATTGGTTAGTGTATAATGTATACATATAAATTAGGTGAGCAATGGCGCACGCCATCCACACCACCAAAAAAAAAAGCATTTTGCAGCCAATAGAAAACCCATGTATGCTCAGGGGTGTTTTAAACACCTTTGGTTAGTCTGTCAGTGTGTTCTGGGCCCACCAGAAAATGCATTTGCTGTTAATTGACAGAGATTTTTAACTCCATCCCAGCTGTTCCCTCTTACAACCTGGGTGCTTAAGGACTACAGTATTTTTCAGGTGCTGGGGAGGGTTGTAGGTGACCACAGCTGAGGCCCATTTAACTTATGTCCATTGTGACACTCTGTGTCGGTGGAAGGCTAAGATATTTTACCTTGTGTGGAGCTGTCTGGTGCAGAAAATGACTGTGTTTATTCACCACTCCTGCCCATTGTGTTTGGACAGGTACTGAAACTTTTAAGGAGAGGCTGTCTTCGTTAACAAGCCAATTTTTCCTAAGTGTTTCATTGTGAAATTCTGAGCCTTTGAAACGTCTCCGTGCCCCTCCCGTGCTCGCTGGTTTGTGCTGCAGTCGATAGAAAAGTGCAGCTTGCATTCTGATTAAGTGCTCTCTGTAATCTGTCGGTGTTTGGATTGTAATCCAGAATGAAAATTGCTAGCTTCACCGTCCTCCCATTCGAGAGACAATGACAGGCTCTGCTGAGCCATTCCCGTGATTGCAGGGTGCATCTGGGGCACCCCACAAGACCTTCTCTAAATATCAACAGCAAATTACTTGAGCTGGTTTTTTTCCTAGAGTTCTCAGGACACGTACATTTGGACCCAGCAGCGCTTTATTTTTAAACACAAATGTAACTCACTCTTGCCTGGGTTTCAGCCAGCAAGATTAAGGCCATAGCACTGCAAGGAGCCCTGGTGTGTTATTAGTGTTACACGGGGCTTTCTCCAAAACAGCCTTTGTGAACAGAGCAAAATGCCCCTTTCTTTTGTCTTCCCACCCAGCATCCCTGAGTTAGAGCCCACCCCGAACAAGGCCCCCTGAAATCATTCAAAGCAGTGATAAGTAGCCTTCAGTTAACAAAGAAAGGATCCAGCAGGTCTGTCCCTGCACGCCGTGTTGCAAGAGCCTCTGTCGGCAGTATTCGATTACAGTAAGTATAAGTCTCCAAATGGGAGACCAAGAGTGGAGATCCTTCCCCCACCTAGCGACACCTTTCGTTTGTGAAACAGCTAAAGCTGCAATGCTTTGGCCACGCTCCTGCTGGAGGATGCAGATATAGCAGTTCTGCTATACTACTGTATTTGTTCAATAAACTGAGCGTGGCTGCTCGGTGCTCCACTGTATAATAAAGACGGTAGCTCCATGGAAAGTAATGGCTTCACTTGGCAGGGGTTCATGCAGACATTTTGCTGTTATCTTGGGTGGATTCCTACTGCTCAGGGTTGACTTTGAGCTTCAGCTTCAAACAAACTAGTTCCTGACAGTGAAAGTCAGCCAAAGCCATGGAGTTTCGCCTGCTTACTTATCCAGAGACCTTGAATTTTTCATGATGTTGATGTAGAAACCATCAATAGACCCAGGCTGTCTTTAAGATAAACCCAGGTTTGCTTGCTTATTTGAATAACTAATGCTGTGGCCATTTCTGTACTTTCTGAATTCACTCCAGCTCCAGCATTGCAACTAAAAAAAATAGAAGTAGGAATCATAAGCAATAATGGTATCTTTTTAAAAAAAAAGAAAAGACATTAATCAGAGTGCCTTTTTCTAGAGCCATTTGGAAAAGGGGTGGCTGCAGGGAGGCAAGCTCTGCAAAGCGAGCCATGTAGAGTGCTAGCAAACTTGGGCGACGGCTGGCAGCTGAGAAGAAAAGTAAATGATACAACTGGAAACCTGCCTCCGCGCTGACCCATGCTTGCCCGGGGACAGCCAGAACACGGGTCTGGTCTGCATTTCAAGCCTGTAATGATCTGGAGATCGAGAGCCATCTCCATGAGTTCAGGTTTTGCTATTACTGTTTTTTGCCCATCTCTAATAAAAGAGAATGGATTGGGCTTGGAGTTGTTTTCTGATCCGGTGCAACCCATACCAAGATACCTAAGTGTCTTGTGACTTTGTCATTCTGCTGGCAGTCAATTAACCGGGGAGCCCAGGATCCCTGAGTTATGGAGGTGTGCACTCATGTCCCCATTTCACATACAGGCAAACTGAGGAACAGAAAAGTGATGCGACTTAGCCAAGGAGCAGGAGGGTCTTGGGACAGGTTTCCCAGTTTCCACTTCAGGACCCGACAGCTTCATAACTGCCTCCGGGCATTTCTTTTGACGCTGTCAGCTTCTGCAGGCCATTAGCAATGTTCCTCCTCTTCGCATAGCTGGCCCTGCCGCAGCTGCCCTGCCACCTCTCCTTTCATCCTGCCTCTCTGCTTGGACTCCCCGCTGGCCAACACGCGGATGCTCTCCTCCCCAGAGCCAGCCCACAGCTGCCACTGCTCAGGCTGTATGAGCATGCTGTCCAGCCACTCTTCCGTGCCAAGATCTCTGTACACACACACATACACACACTCACACTCCCCGGGTCTGGGCCAATTGGCTAGTGTAGACACGAGTTCCCATAGAAACCCAGCGAGGACCTGGCTACTGAAAATGTAGTTCTGCGGTCAAACAGATGAGTTGGGCAGATCCACACCAATCTGGGGATGGCGACCAGATGTGCTCCTTCTTGTATGACGCTCACCCTATAGCGTGTACGGCGAGGAGGAAGCCCATGTGTGCATGGAGGGGAGTGAGCAGAGAACGGCAGCCCAGGAGGTGAGCGTCCTGCAAAGCAGGGGGCCAGTGCTGGGAAGCAGGTGATGCTTTAGGAGAGGCAGAGCACCTGTGGGGAGCTAACCTCTCCTTTAATCCCGGCCGTTGAGGAAGCAACATGTGAGTGCTGTGGTCATCCCAGGCCCCTCTTCCCCGCGCTAGCAGACCGCTGGAGAAACGTGCTCTTTGGCAATGGCAGGACACGGGCACATTAAGTGGCACTTAGCAGAAAGCAAAACCTTAAATGGAAGGAAATGGGAAAAAATTGAATAATTGTAGAGGTCAGAAAGCGAGGCAGTCAATTAGTGTTTTGTTTGTCAACAAAACCCGTTATCCAAAGGTCCTTTGAAACAGGGGTCAGGAGTCTAAAAAAACCTTATTTCAAGCCATATTAAGGACATGTCACTGAAAAGACTGCCATGTATTTATTTCCTTTCTCTGTAGATACTCGAAGCTGTCAGATCCTGCAAACTGGCTGAACATTAATGCCACAAACGGTCAGATCACTACTGCTGCTGTCCTTGATCGAGAGTCAGCCTACATTAAGAATAATGTCTACGAGGCCACATTCTTGGCGGCTGACAACGGTGGGCCCAAGCTTCACGTTGTTCATGCTTCAATAAGACTCTAATGTGATGCATTAACAGGAATGATGCCCTGACAGAGTTGTCAGTATAAGTTATCTTTTCCCCAGGTTTTACGGTCAAAAATGTGAAAGTGGGACAGGGAATTGCTGGAGTACATTAGATGCGCGCAGTATTCAGAGTGCTGTTAAGGGAAAGCGAGGGCAAATGGGAAATCGATTTGGGAAGTTCTGAATCGCAGGAAACAGCGAGGGGCTGTGAGCTCCATGTGCTGCCAAACACACCGATCGTGGTTACTGTCGAAAGCCTACGGTGCCGAGCGGGCAGGAAACACTCCAGCAGGGAGTCAGAAACAATTGGAAGGGACAGAGGGAGGGGATTAGAAAAGAAACGGATCTGTCTTCATCTGGAGAAGCTGTAACGTTCATAGGACATGTCTGTCTGCCTGTTTTTCTGTGTCATCTGATCTGATCCATCTCTCCGCTCATCTGTGTTTCTAATGTGCCCCTCTCCAATGAAAGGCAGTGGGGAGGAGCAGTACCACCCACCATCTACTGCAAAGGCTGAAGCTGATGTACAACGCTTGGCCTTATTTTGGCAAAGGACTTAAGCACACGCTTGGCTTTCTACCCTTGAGTAAATGAATGGGATTGTCCATATGCCCTAAGTTCTTTGCTGCTTCAGGGATGCCTATCTCTTTGTCAGCTGAGTTTGGCCAAGCCTTTTGGCATCCTTCAGGCTGTGCCATAAGTGTTTATGCTGCGTGGTCAAAACTCGCCTATGCATCAATTCCCAAGCTTTCCTCCCGATAACACTTTTTTTACCGCTTGGGATGTAGCAAGGGAAGCAGGCTGACCTGCCCAAAGAGCCGTGATGCTGTTAGAGTATTAAAGGGCAAATCCTGCTGCCCTCCAGAAGGTGCAAAGTCCTAAGTGCAGTGGAGGTCAGTGTGGTCCCAGGGTGGGTGCAGGCCACAGGGCATGGAGTCATGCAGGTCTCCCTGTGCAGTAAGTAGGCAAGTAGGGAGCACTGAGCGACTACAGAAGACTGAGACTAAAATAGTGGCTGTTGTTTATCACGTGTATTAGAGCAGTGGGCCGCAAGAATACATGAAAGGGTCACGAACAAACTTTAAAAGTGGATCAACACACTTAAAAAATGGATGCTCTTTTAATGGAGAAGAATGTCGGAAACCATGGGTCTTCCCTTGCAAGCTGGCAGAGCTCCAGCCTGCTTGGGGCTGCTTCAGGCCCCCCATGCCCCACACACCCAGCCGCTGCCCAACACACTGGAGGGCTAGGGGCAGGGGGAAAGTGGGTCATGACTGGCCATTGATGTTTACAGATGGGTCCTGGTACAAAAAAGGTTAAGAGTCGGTGTCACAACCTAGCTAAGACCAGGGCCACGCGGTACCAAATCCTGTGCAGTCGTGCCTATGCAACAGATCTAAAGGGAACAGGAAAGGGAAGAGTTGTCACTCTGCAAAGAGGAGCCAAGTCGCACAGAAATTAAATGACTTGCCCAAGGGCACACAGAAAGACTGTGGCAGAGGAAACTGAACCAGAGCCTTAACCATGAGACCATCTTCCTTTCTAAGGGTTTGAACACATGGCATGCTTACATGATGTCATAACCCAGGGCAGGTGCTTGGCTCTCCAATCAGGATCCCACTATAAGTTACAGGGATTTACAAAATCAGCGCAAGTCTCTCCTGTCTTAACGCATCGTGAGTCTGGGCCCCACCAGAGAGAGCAGGATTTTGCCGCGCTCCCCCGGCAGCGGCCCCACCACCCAGCTCCACACTGGAACTTGATTTCAGGATAACTCATTTTCCGTCTGCAGTACCGACGAGGAAATCCTGCCCATGCAGCATCTTCTCCAGAGCTGTCGTTCAGCAGTTCTGAGAGCTGAAACCTGGATGAATTCCTTTATTTTGAAAAATTAATCTAGCACTCTTATATTGCAGCCATTAAAATGCACATAAAACAACGCCTTATTTAAAATTCTGTCTAGAGTGCATAGGGTACTGGCGAAAGTTTTATCTAGGTTAATAGACTCCTTTCACGTTCCTCCCCGAGTTCCATGTGCTGTGTCATCACATTCTTATCAAAGCAGGGTTTTTGTACTTTTCTGAAGGAAGAAACAACATCGTGTTTCCTTAAATTCTTTTTGATAGCTTCTATGCATGATTAAGAAGCTATTCCAATGAATGCTCTTTGGAAATGCTCGCTCCCTAAACTACAATAAGGAGACCTTTCATACAAGGCAAAAGTACAGCTTCGTTTAAAAGAGAAATCATTAATATTAATAGTTTTATTGCAGCTCTCTCCTGTGCTCGTACGCACATTTTTTGGGCTCTGTCTTTTAGATCTACCGATACCCTGGGATGGCTTCCCGCTCCGACATGCTGTGGATCTGCTTCATTTGTTTCCGCTGACATTTGCCAGATCAGGGGAACAGGGCTCCCCAGGAGTTTTCTTGCGACTTAAAACCCTCCTGAATGGAGGCAGGCAGCAAATCTCGGGGCATTTTAGGAGATCCCTCCATAGTTACAACTGAATGATCGTGGGGTAGCATAATGTTTTTGTGTGGCTTCAGGAAGCCTCGGTGCAATTGCACTGAAGGTGACTCCCCGTGAAGTAGGAAAAGGCTGGGGGCAATTGTAGATCTGTCCCCCAACTGTCTGGTTTCTTTTTCATACCCAATTGTCTTTACTGTAACCCTAATTAAGGTTTGGTCTTCATGACAGGGCTGCTGCCCCATAGCTTTGCTGGCAAAGCTATGGCAGTGGAGCCCCTTAGTGACGGTGCAGCATATCGCTGCAAAAAGTGGATTTCTGCTGGTTTGCCTAAGCTGCCTCCCTGAGTACCACAAGCCCTCTTCTGTCATCCTGGCTGCATCCAGATGGGGCTTTGCTAGAAGAGCAACATCAGCTAAAGGGCATGCAGTCATTTCCCACTCTCGTCTCACACGGTTACATCAGCAACGCTTCGCGGCACGAGCAAAGTCTGAGATTCTCCGTGGGAGTCAGCGGAGGATGCAATCCTAGGATCCTCGCTGGACACCAGCTTCTGGGCCCTACCTGTAGATTCGCTGAAAAGAGCCAGAACAGTCTCCTACCTACAAGCAGCTTCTGCTGCGTGCTGGTTTTAATCATTTATTTTTCCTGACTGAATATCTCATGAGGTTGCTTCTGAATGCCCGTCAGGGGGTACCAGCAATGAGCTGAATGAGAAACAGGGCTCAGAGGCACTCGCTTGCTGCATGCACACATGCTAATTTGTGCTTGCGGTTGCCAGGCTCTGTTTTACATGTGCAAGTCCGGGCGATTTCAGTCACAGCGGTATTGCTGCCCCGTGGTGTCGCTTGCTGAGTTGAGAGGCCCTTTAAAAACATGCCCCTGAAGGTGCAAAAGCCTCCTTGGAGTCTGCATTCAGTCCTCTAGCTATTGTGGGCAACATGTAAACAGGAAAATCACCTACGCTTTCCCTTAGAAGATACTGAGAACAAGTGTGTTGTCATGTGCAGCCCTGGTAGCCCCATGGGCTTTGTGTGTCTCTGCAGCTAAATCCATGTCTGATTAAAGACACTGTTCTACGGGGAGACCTCCCCGGTGCTCAGGAAGTGTAAGCATGGTGTCTGAAATGGGAGGCTGGGAGAATTAATGTAGGCATCATGGAAGAGGGATTTTCAGGGCTCCTTCGGGGACTTTGAGACCCCTTCGACATCAAAAACAAACAAGGATCAGAAGAGAGAAACCACAAACAGGCAGAAGGAATCAATGATTGAAACAGTGGCGAGGCTGTTTTTTATACCCAGCACTAGGAGGAAAGAACCATGAATTGAAAATAAGAGCTTAAAAATGACTCAGGCAAAGCGGTTGGAGGGAATCGGCAGCACGGAGGCCCGGCACAAAACTGCCTGCATTGGGGGAGGAAGGATGAGAAACGCTGGACCGTTTAAAAGCAAGCTACCGGTTTTTATTTGTAGAGGGGACACTACTGAAGCCTGCAGGCCTAGGAAAGCAGAATAAAGTGGACTCGATGGAGGATTGCACAGGGCAGCGACTGCTTTTTGTCTAGAGGAATAAATTGGAAACTAAGGCTGTGTGCAGACAGCACGGGAGTTCATGTAGACCGCCCGAAAATTTTAATGCGGCTTTTTTTTTTTGGTGCGGTGCATTTTTGTTTGCGTGACACAGCCTGATCCGAAGGAGTGTTAGCGATTGATCCTTACCCAGGCAGATGGTCCAGTGAAGGTCGGTGGGACTGCTCACGTGAGTGGAAGGGGGAGATCTCTGCATCAGGAATACCAGCAGCCTCTCTGTTACTGGAACAGCGGTTAGACTTGAGAAGAGGGGATGGTACATTTTCCTGGCATTGTCTACGGCTTACATGATCCACAGAGAATCACAGCAGGTTTATGTGATAGCCGCTACCTTGGCTGCCACAGCAGGGCTTGAACAATGGGCCTTGAGAATTAAAGGTAGGCATTGCTGTCTGTTGAACTCGAGTACTAGGCTTTGTGCCTGAGAGAGCAGAGTCTTCTCATCTGGGGCTTGGACAGACAAGTGGACACGGACCACATCCTGCCCCGTCTGACTGACTGTCCGTCTTTTTTTCTTCCTTTCTTCCTTTCCTTTGTGGTTCTAAGTTGCCAGCACCTGGGCAGCTGAACCAAGTGCCTGCAAATTGACATTGTGGTTGTGGCAAGTCCACCCAACTCTCTCTGCCCCCCCCCCCACTTCCCAAATAGAAATGAGCAGATCTTGGAACTAGTGACCCAGCACCTCCTCCTTAACATTTCAGGCTTTGAATAAAATGAGATCTGGGTATCGTTTGCCAAACTAATGCCTCATCACCCAGCTTTTGCAAAACAAAAATACTCCAGGGTCAGGCAGAGGCATAACGGGCTGGTACGGAGCTATGGCATTGGCAGCAGTAGGAGGTTCACTGCTGTTGGGGTGGGATGTCACCTCCGTTTTTTGCTGATGACGTGTGTTAAGTGGCCCCCAAAAACCAGTGATTTTCAGTGGCCAAAAAAAAAGGGGGGGTGGCATCTCCCCTGCATGGACTGAGACATGAATGCAGCGTGGCCCAGGAGGTCTAGTTCTGCATTCCCAGGACCCAGGCCATGGCACCGTTTCCGGGCTGGACGGCTCAGAGGAGTTTCAGGGGCAGGCCAAGAGCGTCGTGTTATAGTGCATGCCGCTCTGTGCGTTGTATTCATTTCTCCTCGTCTGAACCTGCCTCTCCCATTCAGGTATCCCCCCGGCGAGCGGCACTGGCACACTGCAGATCTACCTAATTGACATCAATGATAATGTCCCGGAGCTGCTGCCAAAGGAGGCGCAGATCTGTGAAAAGCCCAACCTGAATGTCATCAACATAACAGCCGCAGACGCTGACATCGATCCAAACGTGGGGCCCTTCGTCTTCGAGCTGCCAAGCATGCCATCTGCAGTGAGGAAGAACTGGACCATCACCCGGCTAAATGGTAAATGGGGAGGTGATCCTACGGCTGTTCGGAGTGGGGTTTGCTAATGAGAGCCACGCGCAGATTCAAACTTCCCAACTTTCCCACTTTCTTAACTAATTTTTTTTTTAAACACCCTATGGCCAACAGTGCAGGCAAGAGTTAGTTAATCAGGAGTGATTTGTATCAGACCTGCCGCAAAACTCTGAGAGCTTTGGCACTTGGCTTTTTTTTAATGCAGTTCATAATTATGAACAGTTATCAGGAGTGAACGGAGAATAAATCATCCATAATGGCCAAGGGGGAAAATGCTATTATCTGTCTTCCTTATGTTCCAGTGTAATTGTCATGAACCACAATCAGGATCAATGTTCATTTATCTGGTCATAATTGCATAAAGGCAGCCTTTTAATTTACCATGGAACCAGGAGGGCCAGGTAAGCGTGACGATTACCAGTACGTGAAGGATTGTTAGATCATGGCGTGCAACCATGATTGGCCCTAATTGGACCCCTTATTGGTAGTTTCAGCATAAAAGCAAAGGAAAGAAAGTGTCTTAGAGACTGAACTACTGTCTCTCCTTAAAAGCTGATTCCTCGAGGTCAAGTCTGAAACGCTTTGCCAGGGGCAGCATGATATAACAGCTTGGCAGCTATTGTGGGGATGAAAAGAGTAATTCAGTCTCCTAAACTGCCAGTCCAGCACCTCTCACAATAGGAAGGAAAGGCACACAAAAAAAAAATGGAACAGTTGAATACATCGGCTTAGGTCTGTCCGCAAGGATTGCTGTGGGAGCAGAGTGGTGTGGGTCTAGCCCAGAGCTGGGGAAGGGACAGTGACAGCCTACCAGTGATTCGCTGGCCTGTTTCAACTCTATGCCTTAGCATTTCCTCACCATCAAATTTTATGTGCGAGCAACTGGCTGCTGATTTGCAAAAGGCGTTAAATGCGGTTAGTGCTGGCTGTGAGCCAGCATGCTTTTGAAAGCCAGTATCCGCAACAGGATGCAGTCACCAAGCATAGTCGGTATGGACCGACCATTTAGCAGAGTGGAAGGGAGAGATTTGAAGGTCTGCTGGCACCGATTTGGGGTACGGTATATTGTTGTGTTGCCGGTCTCCTACATGTGATTCCCTGGGCTAACCCGACGGCGATGCTTCCCGCACACCGAACAGCTGGAACCGACCCGTGAGCAGTTATGAGAACAGCTATGTACAATGTTCCCAGTACTGCTTCATGCTCCAGTAGCAACAGGAGCACAGCAAAACTGTCACAAACATCACACCTGCTTCATTCAGGGTTACGTTTATAGCGATTTTCTCTCAGATGCTCCAGGAGCATGCAGAGCACAGCGACAGTACACCCAAGCTGCAACCCCCCTTTGCCTTCTGCAGCAGTTCAAAGTTAGGTCTGTCCACAGCCAGAGATTGCATTTTAAAGTACTCTGTTAACATGTAAGGGAGCATAGAAAGGTCTTTTCTCAAGCTGTGACACATAGCAAGAGATTTCTTGATCAAAAAGGAGCAAGAACTCTTGGCAGAACTTGGAAAAGGAAAGAAGCTGCACTGCAGGGACAGCATGCAGCCGTGTGCGCTTGCTTGGAGGGTGGTCATTTGGCATCTGTTGTACTGCCATTACCTTTAGCACCTCGCACAGAGCCACAGTCACCTGTCTGTCTCTGTCCCTCCAGGTGACTATGCCCAGCTCAGTTTGCGAATAATGTACCTGGAGGCCGGTGTGTACGACGTCCCAATCACCGTGACGGATTCGGGGAACCCTCCCTTGTACAAGACGTCTATCATTAAAGTGAAAGTATGTCCGTGTGATGAGAATGGAGACTGCACAACCATCGGGGCCGTTGCGGCCGCTGGCCTGGGCACAGGTGCCATCATTGCCATCTTGATATGCATCATTATTTTGCTGAGTAAGTGTTGCAGCCTTGAGCACCTGGGTAGGAACTTCACACCAGCCCAGAAGCATTTTAGGTGGAAGCTTTGTGTTCTGATCTACCAAATTCTCCCTCTAGAGCATTTAATTAATGGCAGCACAGTCAATCAGCAGAGGGCAAGAAAGTGGGCCACAGAACAGGCACTGCAGTTTGAGTTGGCACCATCATCATTAAAATGAGCCAGCGGTATCACCAAGCACAGGGAGAAGTAGCAGGTTGGAATCACAGCCCAAGCGGCAGTACGCTGAAGACACCCTTTAGTATTTTTATCATGGTGGTTGTTGTTAGAGCGAGCTGGTACCAAATTGGAGCAAAACGGAAAATGTATAAAGCCAGGCAGTCCTGTTCAAAACTCTGTTGTTCCTGGAAATATTGTTTGCAAAAGAGGCACTTCTAGCGTAAGGCGCTTGCTCTCCTGCCTCCTGTAAAATCCCTGAAACTTTCACGATCCATCCAAGTTTCAGAGAAAGACCGGACAGACTGTGGAGTCCGGAAAGCTGGTGATGACTCACCCACATATTCAAGATACTATTGAATATGCCCTGTATTCAAACCCCATCACTACAGTGCAAACACAGTGTAAACCACTGAGCCAGAACATTTTGTATTTCTAGAAGACCTTTTTATTTCAGGGCCTCAAATCACTTTGCGAACATTAATTAAGCCTCACAGTGCCTTGGCTAAATTGGGTGAGAAATATAGTTCTACTCATTTTATAGATGGGGAAAGGAAGGCACCGGAGGTTAATGTGTCATCCAAGGACACACGTTAAGTCGGTGGTAGAATACGTGATAGATCCCAGATCTATCGATAGTATATAGAGGATGCTGGTTATTAGAGTTCCTGTTGGCTGGTCCCATTTGTACAAGCAGCGCCTGTTTTGGGTGTTGGATACTAGGAGGAAAGAATAATAGGTTGCTTCTAAAAATTCAAGCTAGAGGAAACCTGGGGAAGACAGTTTAAATATGCTTTACATATTTTAAAACAAGAGGAGCTCACGTTTGCATACAGATGCCTTCCCTTCCCTTCCCTGCACCTACAGAAGAACTGTCCCTGCCCACCCCCATCATGACTGCAGCCTGCAAAGTCTCTCGGTCAGTGAAAGAGGAGCCCTTGAAGAAGGAGCAAGCTGCAGAATAGCCCCGAGATGGACTGACATGGTTCTGTGTGGGGAAGCTGCCTTCCTTCTGGCTCTGCCATCACTCCTGTGCTTTCATGAGCACAAACACTAAGTAAATTTATACACATTTTAAAATAAAAAAGATATCATTATAACTTCAAGCAGGAGTTGGCACAGTAGGGACAGATACAAAGAAGCATTGAAATGCACAGTGAGGTAAATATTCATCAGGAAATGCAGGATGAAACTGTGGGGTTCCCATTAAAGTTAATAGGAGTTATGGTGCTAAATCGCATTTAATATTTACCCCCAATGTGTTTGAATGGAGAGCGGGTGGAACAATTTATGCTATTAATGCCACCTAATAAATAAGCGACAGAAATACAATCTAGATGAAACTTCTGTAAAGTGGGTACGTAACTGGTTGGATAATTAGGCTCAAAGAGTAGTCAATCAGCCACTCAAAGTCTGACTGGGAGGAAGCATCGAGTGGGGTATTGTTGTTGAACATCTTCACTGAGGACTTGGAGGCTGGAATTGAATGTGTATTCAGCAAGTTTGCAAAGGACAGCAAGCGAGGTGGGGTAGCGGACACTTTTGGATCATAGGATTAGGATTTTAAATGATCTTGATAAATTGGGAAGATGGCCTGAAATAAATCTGGTGAAAGTCAGATTTATATACACGGGCCATGGGAAGTGACTCCTCCACTCTGTGCGGCACTGATGAGGCCTCACTTACAATCCGGTGTCCAATTTTGGGCACAACATTTCAAAAAAAAGCTGTGGAAAAATTGGAAGGAGTCCAGAGGAGAGCAACTAAAATTAGTAGAAGTCTAGGAAACATGATAGTCAAGGAAAGGTTGAAAGGATTGGTATTATGTAGTCTGGAGAAGAGAGGCCTGAGGCAAAATTTGATCAGAATCTGCAAATACAAAAAGCAGTGTTATAAAGATGGTGATCCATTGTTCTCTGTGTCCACATGGCCATAGGACAGGAAGTAATAGGTTTAAATTGCAACAAGGGGGCGCTAGATTAGATATTAGAATAATTTTCTAATGATGAAGGTGGTTAAGCACTGGAATAAATTACCTGGAGAGGCTGGGGAATCTCCAGCGTTGCAAGTTGGACCAGCATTTGTCTGGGATGCTTCAGACAGGGGGTTGGACTAGGCGACTTTGGGAGGTCCCTTCCAACTCTGTTTTTCTCTGAGTCTAATAACAGCTCAGTGACAGACCCAGCGGGTTGGATGCATCCCCTTTGGCCATTGCTGCTTCTGTCCCCAGCTAACCCAGGCACAGTGGGAGCCCTAGAGGCACTGCTTCCCTGCTCCAGCCGCAGGCTGTGGCTGTGTAGAGTACTGGGCTCGGCAGGGTACAGCAGCGGTGGCACATAGATTCCTCCTTGCATCTTCTCCCTGCTGTCCCGTTCCTTGCAGCTGTCCCCATGCTGGCTGGGAGCAGAGGCTGGAAGGAGGAACCTGCACTCTGCCACCACCCCTATTCCCAATGGAGCCTGGCTCCCGCAGAGCTGCTCCCTGCACCATGGGGCAGAAGCAGCTCTGGGGCTCCTCCTTGACCCCAGGTCAGCTGGGGACAGCATTGGGGCAGGTCCTGCCCTTCATGCACCTGCTTCCTGCCCAGCTCCCTGATGTCCCCCACTGGCCTGGGAGCTCCAGCCATGCCTGGCTCCCATCCCCGTGTAGTTTGAGAGGTGGTGTTCTGCACCTCTTTTAGGCAATTCTGTATCCACTGTGGCCCATGTAGCTGTGGCTTGGTCGGTCATAATTCCCATTATGCTACTATACATCTGGACCATGGGCCATCACTAGTCATGCAGTCTAGGACCAATGAGGGCAGCATACAGTTGCATACAAAATGTATATATGCAAGTGCTGAGATGCAGCCTGAAGACAGGATATTTGTACTATGTGCGCTCAAATGCACACCTGAATGCGATAGGCCTATAGAAAAATAACTTCCAAGAAAGCATGGTATTATGGTCGCCGAGTGAAATTCAGTGCATATTTCTTTGCATCCACCTCTGAAAGGCTGTTCCTCATTAGAAGATTCTCTGATCCCTACTTCCAAATATTTAAGATTTCTAGCCCAAAGATGCATTGCAAGTGCAGGTGATAGCATTACAATATGCACATGCAGAAAGGGCGCTTACAATTGCAAACCCGGTACCATTTTGCGCAGCAAGTAATATGCAGGCACATAAACCACGCGGTATGCAGGCATGCAGTATGCAAGCGCGTTCTGCGTGCACACGTCTGTTGTGTGATTTGACTTAAGCTCCGGCATATGAACTGTTGGTTCCCAATGTTGGTTTCATAAAAGAGAATAAGGCTGTAATAAAACCCCGCACCGGAAGTACCAAAGGCAATAAAACACTAGGCTTCTTTTCGCTACTTCCCGTATAAATCCAGCTCTAAAGTATGATTTAAATGCTTGAAAATTCTATTGACTGAAATTAACTTCTGCTGAAGGACGTTTGATTTAAGAGATTCCTTTTTCATTTTCAGATACATTATCCCATTTTAAATTATGGTTTTTATTACAAAAGCTTATTTTTACATTCATTGTAATTCTAATTGACTCACTTCCCTTCAGGAGCTGCAAAGGGCTGTATCAGTGATGAAAAATGTAATTTGTGATGAGCAGAGATTTTCCGTTATTCTCCTACCATTTTCTCTTATATATGTATATAGATAGATAGATAGATAGATATAGATATATATATATAGAGAGAGAGATAGGTAGATAGATAGATATAGATATGCATGCTATGACCTCTGAACAATAGCCTGGAAAAGGGCACATGTGACTTTTTGTTCTGCAGTTCTTTGCTGGAGTCAGGAAAGTCAAGCTTTATGGTTTTAAAGTCAGACCAAGCAATGGGATACACCAGCCATGGTTGTCAGGGCTAGAAAGTTTCTTTCTTGTTGCTTTGGCTAAGTGGGTTGTTGGTTTTTTCCCTTCATACCTGATGTACTAGCTGCAAGGATAACACTTGAGGGAAGAGCAATGCAATAAAAAATTGTGAAGGGTGAAGACAATAGATTTCAAGAAAAACTACATGCAGAGTGAAAATGGGTATAACAGCAGTAATACAGCTTCCTATTCTGCCGAGTGACTAAAAGGAATGAGAGAGAGTGCACTACATCTGCTATTGACACTTTGAAGGTCTTTTTTTTCAAGGTAGCTGTAAAGGCGTTAATGGCACAGTTTTTCCACAAGCGTGATGAAAAAGTAGCATAAAAAAACCACCCTGGTAACCATTATAATATTGTCTTTGTGTGCCAGGCAGGTAGCTTGTTGTGAGAGAGACAAGAAAGACAGACAAGAAAAGGACTTCAATAGACTGCTAAATAGCTGAGGTTTTATATCAGAGATAAGAGTTGCATTTTTTTTTTATTTTTATTTTTCTCTAGAATAGATCTGGGATCCGCATTAAAGAAATGCTGAACTATCTGAAAACAATTTTGTTAGCTAGCAGGCAGGGACAGCAGCCAATTGGCATACAATGGCAGTAATTAGCTGTCCGGTCCTCTTCTATTCACTTCAGTGAATTCTTGTTGGGTATGAAAGCTGTAGCGCTCGGAAGAAAAGAACGAGGACAAACTCAGATCCTCCTAGCTGTCTCAGACAGGAAGATGCTGCCTGGCTTTGCCTTGATTGCAAGACCCTTGGAGTCCACATTTCCAGAGTTGCTCTCCTTTTCTTTCTTGAGCTCAACGAAGCTACGCTGAGGCTCAGGCAAAGAGGGGAAAAAATCCCGGAAAACACACAATGATCCAAAATATCAAGGGCTTGTTCCCAGGGCTCAGCTGAGTCTCTGGGACGGAGTTTGGACTCTTGCCTTCTCCCGGAGGAGGTGTCTTCACTTAGAGAAAAGTCGCGGTGTTAATGTGGGCTGGCAAACGCTACAGCGCTTACACAAGGCACGCTCCTAAGGAAGACAAGGTAGTTTGCTGTTTTAACATGAGCTGGCAGGTTGAGGCAAAGACCATTGGGGAGATGAAGATTTAACCCGATCTGCTGACAATAAAAGCCCGCACTGCTTTGCCTTTGCTTGGATTTTACCTTGCATTCATTTCCATTTGTTTGCAAGTGTGGGTTAAGAACGTACTTTTTTCCTAGTGAATATAAAGGCCTGAAGGGAAACCCTTACTTTGAGCAGTGTTGAGTATTAGCAGGAAAACAAGACCATCGATGGGTTTCTTAAAGGAAACAGAGAGGTTGCAATGTCTAGTGCTACTGGAGACCCACTGGTGTTCCCATAGCTGGTAACACATCTCCCTTGTCTAGCTGATTTGAAATGTGCCGCCTTTGGGAGCTGGCATGTTGATGAACCAGGGAAGAAAACTGTGTAATGCTGTTTAAGTGGTGAAAGCTGGTGGTGAGCTGTACCTCACTGCAGTGTACAAACAGGAGAGATTCACCAGGCCCTAGCATATACATTCGGATGCCCCAAGAAGTTAGTTTTGTGTTGCCACATTGCGCTACCCTTGCTCCGCAAAGGCCCGCATCCTTCTCTGAAAGGATTTCAAAGATTCACAGCCCTGCTCTCTCCATGTGAGTGGCAGAAAGCGTATCCTAATGCTTGACTTAATGTGATTTCAGAAATAAAGCAAGCCCCCTAAAGATCGTGAATGAGCCTAAATTGGATTATGTGAACTAATGTTATCCAATCTCTTTCCATGTCTCTGAGCAAGCTGCAAATCATTAAAAAATGATTACAATGGAGATAGCCTACGAACTCAGATGGCGTTTTTGTGGAACCAGTGGAAAACATCGGCTCGTGTCTTTGTTCTTTGCCTTTGACTGTCTTATTTCTCCTTATTGTCTTTGATCTCAAACCCAAGTGCCTACAAGAGTTGCAGGATGAAGAAGCAGGGGGTTGGGACATAAACACCTTCAGATAGCTGCTGTTTCTCACACTTTCTCTGTATTTCCCTTGAGATGGGGTGTTTTGCCCTGACAGCGGTAGGTCCAATCAACATGCTTGGTCAATCATAAAGCAATCTGTGTAAACAGGAGGACCCATTTGGATTATTGACACTCGCCGAAGTATCCCTTTTCTTATTTTTTGTACTTAACAGTTCAGGACAATATGTGGCCACTGACGGTACGTGGATCCTCGTCCCCAATCACGGCATATTCTGAAGTCCGTGCTAAAAGCGAGAGTGTATGCAATATATTCCACACAAGTTTAATTGAGATATCTGCACTGAAACATGCTGAGGTTTCTAGCACTGGGGCATATTTACAGCAGCAGCAGCATCTAACATCGGTATACATGTCGTTTTAATCAAGCAGGACTAATATCACAGAGGTGATAGGTACTTCTGCTGTTTGCGGTTGGGTAATTCAGGATGTAGCTCTTAGCTAGCAACCAAATTCCATGTTATAGAAGTGGGAGTGGCGGGATGCCTTTGGCAGAGGCAGCCTGGTTAAACCTCGCTACGCCGGCTCATGGTATTCGTTGTTGCAGCCATGGTTTTGCTGTTTGTGGTGTGGATGAAGCGCAGGGAAAAGGAACGGCATACGAAGCAGCTGCTGATCGACCCCGAGGACGACGTCAGGGACAACATTCTGAAATACGACGAGGAAGGAGGCGGAGAGGAAGACCAGGTGAGGAGAGCTTGTCACCGAGACTTTGGTCCCCCGGAGCCAGGTTCTATTGAAACTTAGGTGTCCACCATGCCTGAGTCCCTGAAAAGCTGTAAATAAAAAAAGATGGGGGAATCCTCCTCTTCCTCACTGCTTTTTTGACTCGGTCTTGAGGGTCAGATGAAGGGGTGTAACACAAGCAGATGCATTATTGGATTGTACGGTTTAAAGAGGGTGGAACAGAATCAGGTCTGGGCACTCAAGTCCATTTTGGCACTCAACAGGTGGTAGCATCTGGCCCTGCTGCAAGGCTCACCCTTCATTTCTCAGCACCTTGCAAGCCCCATGATCCTCATTCTGCACCTGAGCATTATGATATGATATAATATAATATAATATAATATAATATAATATAATATAATATAATATAATATAATATAATATAATATAATATAATATAATATAATATAATATTTGTGCAGTGGCCACCCTGCTTTTCCAGGCTGGGGAATAGCCACTGGCCAGCCAGTAGCCATAACATTTTTACTGCCTGAAGACAGAGATCACGGCTTCAATTGTGATTGTCACTGGCATTGCTTCAACAATATTGCACGGGCATAAATGAGAACCAGCTTGGGTCCAGTCACTCCAGTGCCCTGTATCTAGCTGGGGAGCATGGATGGGACGTTTCCATTCATTTTGGCCAGTGCCATGAGACAGGTGTAGCGTGTGCTGTTCCATTTGGGTAAGCCTGGCTGCTGGGTGAGATGATAAATTGCTCTATTGACACTCACGTTTAAACAATATTTCTGTCAGTTCAATAATTAACAGTGTGTATTTTCCCTCCAGATGCCTGCATAAAATCAAATCACAGCTACAACCCTTCCCCAGTTCCTGTTGCTCCAGGCACTTGCCTTGGTTTGCTTGAGCCTAGAGCTTTTATTGGCTTTGCTTGTATTTACTTAATAGTCCCTAATGTGCCTTTCATTTCTCTTAATTTCTGGCCTTAATTTGTGAGAAATGTCTAGATATGTTTGGGGATTTTCTTTTCCGCTCTGAAGCTTATCATGGCAAAGCTTTGCTTCATAATTGAGCCCTGAGCCAAAGTCTGCCTGAATCTCTTAGCTTTTCTATGGTGGCTTCTTATCACCGGCAAGAATTGGAGGTTCTAGGAAACTTCCAAAGCATGGGCTACTCCTCCGCTGACGCAGGGCTTCCCAGACAAAAAAAGATAAGCTTGGGTTGTCTTATTTAGGGTACACTTTCTTCTTACTGCCAACCACCAGCAAAGGTCCCATGACACCCTTAAGAAGAATATGGTCAGCTCTTGTCCAGATTTGTGTGTGTGTGTGTAGCAAGATCTGAAGATGGGGAGAAAATACTGATACGTACTGGGCATGTCTACACATGTGCATTTGCTGCACAGTAACTGAAATTACCGCACAGTATGGGCGTGCATCTACACGCGCATGCCCGTACTGCGCAGTAAATACAGTGACTTAGGCCAACTTGAGCGTAAATTTGATACCTGCATCATCCAGGTATCAAATTTATGCCCGATAAGTTACTGCACAGTAACACACATGTAGTCACACTGTGTTTGTGGACTGACTTGGGACTTACTTTAGCCCCAACTCAGTCCACACACAGCATTAATGCACTTTAATGTCTGCATGTGTAGACGCCAACCTATTCCCACTTACTGCACAGTAAATTTAAGCCAGCATAAATGCGTGTGTAGACATGCCCACTACGTGTGGCATTTTTCCCGCTGTGAGTATGTAGTGGGTTTTGTAGCATACAGGTGTAATGGAAAGCAATAAACTATATGCACTTCCTCCTACCTACCGCCGTTTATTTTCAAGGCCAGTAAAAATATATTTGTTTTAATTTTCCTTTATCTGACCCCTGAACAGTTGGACTTGCAAGTTAGGTACCTAATTTTAAAGTGGAGAAATACAGAGGCTATCCATTATGGGCTCTCTGAAGCATTTCAGAAATAGATTGTGAAGGTGAATATGCGAAGGTGCGAGGTGGCAGACAGGTTTTATTAGCACTTCTTCAGCTTCAGCACTCATTGGAGCCTTCCTGCATGCCGTCAAGTCCACCGTTGGGTTGAAGGGGTTCAGGTCTGAGGCAGGCAATGGAACGAGCGGTGAATTTGGTCTGGGACTCTAGCACAACAGCAGACAGGACTGTGTCAGGAACTCATGTCCCCATAAGCACGCCGTTACTCTAGTCTCAGTTGTAGGAGGGGTGAGGTTTTGCCATGTAGCCATCAGTCCAGATGCCAAAATATTGAACGCGGGGCCTCACAGTCATATCCACCTAACATATCACCTCAAACTTTTTGCTCTTTCTACCTGAATGGACCCATTGGGACTCTCATTAACGTTGACAGGAGAGAAACTTATTTTAGACAACATCCCCACCGCCTTGAGGATTTGAGATAAGAATTTGCCCAGTGCTTTTGAAGCACTTTTCCCCCACAGATTTCTTCAGAATTGGCTTCTTTCTCTCTCTGCCACCCTCCCCTGCTCCTGGCTTTCTCTTTATCACTGAGAATTTATTTATAAATGTTGCAGTTTTGTTCCTGGAGATTTAAGCATCCTGTCTAGTCAGGATAGGTTTTCCAGTGGAATAAAACAATAAACATTAAAACAAACTGAAAAATCGGGTTTCAAGCAACTGCAAAAAATATTAGCTTAAATATTTTGGGAAGGATTCTTTAAAAAATAGCAGCAGAGGAAGTGCAGCAAAACACCGTTACCTACATAAATACATTTTTATCAAAATCTTACCTAATACTTGTTCCACAGTAACATCCTTCTCTGGTTTCTACAGTCATAGATCTGTAGCAAAAGAAGGTATTTACTGCAGAAAATCAATATCTATAAATGCATTTCAAATTTTGTATTGTATTTCTACTTACCATAACATTATTGTAATACAACAGCTACCGCCCCTGTTTTCCTTGCAATAAATTATATAGTGAACCGAATTATTGCACATGCATGCCCAACATATCCCATTTGTTATCACAAAGCTATAGGGTGTGAAGTTACATATGCACAGTGCATGAGAAGTATTTGTTTAACTTGGGTTTTGAATTTGTTTTAGCTGGGGTCGATTTCCCGGCACTTATTTGGGATCAATGTCATGAATCGTTTATAGTGTTGATAGTTTGAGATGCCCCATATGCAGTAGTGACATTTTTCTTTTGCTTTCCAGGGAAAAAGGAGCAGACCCATCAACTTATTTATATGGAAGTGAAGGGTAGAGCCTGTTAAAGATCTCATTGAAAAGCTCTAGGTCTCACTCTGTGCCTTTCCATTTGTTACAGGATTATGATTTAAGCCAACTTCAGCAGCCAGAGACCATGGATCACGTCTTGAACAAGGCAGCTGGAGTCAGACGGGTAGATGAGAGACCTGTCGGTGCTGAACCCCAGTATCCTATAAGACCAGTAATCCCCCATCCTGGGGATATTGGTGACTTTATTAACGAGGTATGCTCTTGTCTGCTTTCATTGTCACTTCGCAAGGCTCCTGCAGTCACTGGTTCAATAAGTTTGCAAAATAGTTGGACTAAAATTTACCTAAACATTTTCTAGACCTTGCTAAGAGCCAAAACCTTGCTCCTGTTGCTCAGGCCAGAACTCCGATGGAAGTCAATGGAACTGCACACGTGGGTAATGAAAGGAGTGTTTGGCCCTGTAAGGTGATTAAAACCCAAATGAGCCAAGTGCAGTAATAGAGCACAAGAAGACATACAAAAAACTAGAACTCGTGGTTCCAAAATGATACCTTTTATTAGACCAACTGGAAAATGACAAGAAAATTGTCCCTTTCTGCATGCTTTCGGGATCAAAGCTTGTATGTCTCTTTGTCTCAAACCAACACGGCTACCAGGTACACCCCTGTAATAGAGCACATGCTTGCTCACTCCAGCCGCAATACATTAGAGCCTTTTGTCTTCAAAACCTGTGGCCCTGACCCAGCTCCATTTCAGCCTATAGGAGTTTTGCAGTTG